AAAAAACAGAGATAAATTTATGAGATCATAGAGAAATTAGTAATAAATGCTATCTATAAGAATTAGGGAAACCTAGGCATTAAAGGTACAAGAAACAGCATATGCAAAAGCATAAAGGTATGAAAAAACGTGACGTCTTTGGAGATTAGGAAAATTCAGAGTGGTTTCAGTAAGGTACATGGTGAGCAATAGTACTTGATCAAGTAGATTGGAACTTAACTGTGAAAGGACATGATATTTTTCCAATCTAAATGACAAGTCATTGTAAGGTGTTTTTCATTTGTTTTTGCACATGGAAGAGTGACTTTTTTATTACTGTTCAAGTATAGTTGTCTCCCTTTTCATGCCACCATGCTCCACCATGCCCCCTGCCTCCCACCCTCGAATCTATTCCCTTTGGCTTTGTCCATGTGTCCTTTGTATGTGTTCCTTGATGGCCCTTCCCCTACTTTCCCCCATTATCCCTCTCCCTGCTTCTCTCTGGTTACTGTTAGTTTGTTCTTTGTTTCAATGTCTCTGGTTATATTTTGCTTGTTTGTTTGTTTTGTTGTAAGTTTTTAAATGTAGGCAGTGGCAGGACCATGCTTCTGAAAGATAATGAGCCCAGGGGGAGATGAGCATAGAAGATGGAGACCAGTGGAGACCAGAGTTAGAAAGGTAAATTGTGTTCCTCAGTGATCCAATGAGAGATAATAGCCTTGATAAAATAGCAGAGGAGAATGGGAAGGGTTTACAGGAACAAATATAAAGGACACATGGACAAAAACTAGGGGGATGTGGAAATGGGAGGGAGGTGGGGAGGGATGGGTGAGTGGGCTGGGATGTGAGTAAAGGACAGAAAACTGTACTTCAACAATGATTAAAATAAAATTTAAAAAAATAGTAGGTTTGGAGATTTCTGAAATCAGTCACTAAAATTTGGTGACCAACTGAATGAAGGGCAAAGAATAAAGAATGAGTTTCAAAAAGGAAAAAATGACTAATAAATTTACTTTTTTTCCTTTAAGCCATAAGATTTGGTAGATGATAACAGTAACTGAATATAAAAAGAAAAAATAAATACTATAATTATGGCTGACCACAATGTTTGCATCACACTCAGAAATATAGACTATATGCTTTACACAATTACTGTTCTGGAGTTGACTATTCATTTCCTTGGAAGACAGAAGTTTAGTAAATGTCATAAATTTCTTTGAATAAACATGAACAAGCTAATCAGAAAGTTCAGTCAGGTTGGGACTTGTAACACAAAAGGCTTCCCAAATCTTAGTCCCAAATCCTGTTTTGTTTTGTTTTCCTTTGTAGGTAAATCATGTGTGAGTCCTAGAGAACTCCTTCATGCCCCTGTCTTCACACATGAGTATCAAGTTGGGGCCAATAAATATTCTTATAAAGAAGGGTGAGTTGGCAGGAAACATTTCCAGGGTACATGGGTTTCACAGCAGTTGTTTCAGCCAGAAGCCACCTATCTTCAAAAAGGGATTTGAGTAATTGCCACCTACCCTTCAAAATAGAGAAGCAAAAAGAGAATCGCCTACCTCATCTGCTCTAGAGACTATCTTTTAGGATTACCCACTAGAGAGGTTACCTAGAAGAGAAAGTAGCTCGGGCTACCCTTCTTCCAATTTTAAATCTCCAGTGTTACTGGCCAGCAGGCGAATTTTACTCGGTTTCAGATTCTTTAATCTTTTGTATGAGTCCTTAGTCCATGACTGATACTTGTCATACATGATATTCCATCCTTTCCCGTTTTTTGCAGTGGACAAAGAACTAAGCTTTGCTGAAGTCTACATCTAACTGAGAGACAATCACTCATCTCTTTGTCTTTAGGAGTTTTTTAATTGATTTGAGAGAGAAGATGGTGGGGAGAGGGAGGAAAACATTGATTTGTTGTTCCACTTATTTATACATTCATTGGTTGCTTCTCATAAGTGTTGTGACTGGAGTTTGAACCCACAGTCTGGGCATATCCGGATGACTCTCTAAAGAACCGAGCTACCTGGCCAGGGTCTTTGTAATTTCAATATCAATTCATTAGTGACACATTTGCTTCATGTATAATATTATCTTAGATAATATTGTAACATGGAATAAGGTCATGCCTTTATGTAAATATGAGTGAAATGATCCCTTTATTTTACACCCTAGGTAAATCCTCTTGTATTCTTCTAGAGGGAAATTAGGCACCTACATATCAAAATTTGTACTCAGGAAAGTTACATGTGGATTGGAAAGTTCTGGGCTCAAAGCTGTAGTTTATCTTCTTCCAATTCCCTTTGATTACTTCCCCTTTGATGACAAGTTATTTCATAGTGAATAAGGGCTGAAGTCTAAATTATACCATGAGATTACACACTGCTAACTTCATGCAAACAAAGGTCATGCCAGGTGTTTCCTATAACAGCTTATCTATATTCTGGCATTGGATCTAGTGACCATACTATAGTTTTTTGAGTTTTCATCAGGGAAGTTCAATGCATCATCTACTTTGCTACTTACTATTAAATAGCTTTGAGATAAGGATATGCATTTTCAACAAAAATTGATCAATTGTACACTGAATTGGTTGGACAAAATACCCTGAAAGTGTAACATTTAAATGTCTTCTTTTCACACCTAATCCCCAAAAACCCTTTCCTTGTGAGTCACCCAAGCCATATTTAATGGGCACTTTTATAACAGCAGTAGAGAGAATTTTTACTATGGAATAGTGGTGACTGATCAGTGCCATGTTGGACAGAATGGAAAAAAGCTGCTTGACCTCATGGGTGAGAAGTCGATATACTGAACCAGCAAAGGCAATCAAGTTGGCACCTGGAGCAGCTCTCCTCCTCAGTGTATTAAAATAGTCAAATGCCTAATTGCAGAAATTGAAAATGGAATTATAGACATTCATTTTCTTAAATGATACCATGATGTTTAAGGGTAAGCCTGGTTTTACCATGGAAGTCGGCAACAAGGTATGGTGCCACTTAAACAGTTCATGGAATGCTCCACTTCCAAGGTGTTTCAAGGATGACTTGGAATGAAAATTTGGTGATCAACAAATGAAATGATACTTTTGGTTGAATAGAAAAGTGGTAGGTATGGGAAAAAGAGGTAAAGATAATAAGTGCAGTTGAGTATCCTGGTTAAAGAGTTTGAAAGCAAACTTTGAAAGTAGTAGTTACATGTTGAAGAGGTAGGACACTTGCTATATTCTGCAGTGTGTTAGATCTACATTAATTTGGGGAATTCAGAAGACATTTAAAAAGCAAATAGTACCCGAGCCAGTGATCAGAAATTTTTTTCTAAAGCACATACGATATTCAATTTTATTTAGATGAGGATAAAATGAATTCTCAACCTTATTGGCCATGCCAAGGGGAGAATCTGGCTGATGTCAGAATTTGACTCAATAAAAAAACCTGTAGGCATTGTGCACTCTCATATTGAAAAATGTAGTCTTTCTGTAATAAGGCTAAATTAAGGTTGAATCTCTTCCCCCATTCACTCTTTCTCCCCTACTCTTACTGAAAAATATATGACTTACAAAAATTTGCCAACATTCAGATCTACCCCCTCACACTCACATACAAGGCCCAGAACCTTTATCAACTGGTTTGGAGAGTGGGAAACTGAGGTAGATTTTGGTGATCAAAATGTATTACCAAAGTTTGGTTTCCTTAACTACAATATTAGTGAGAGGATAACCAAGATCATTCCAGCTACATAAGTGGAAAATGATGAGTGGATGGAATGGTTCCTGGTACCAATCAAGAGAGAGAAAGCAGATGATTGCATGCTTCATCATGTCTAAAAAAATGAATGGATGTTATCCCGCTCCAAATCACCAAAGCATCACTCTGCTTGACATTTAGAAGAGTTGACACGACCACTTTAATTCAACCCCTGCTGACCCCAACATGGCTTAGGTTGTAGAGAAGAAAGTTCTTATTTCAGAAATAAAAGGTCTCTGGTCCAGTTCTACCAGGGTAGACAACCTTTCTCAGTGTGTCTACCACCTCCACATATCTACCGTGGTAATTATAACAAAAGGAATAAGGAACTCTTTGCATGAACAGAGTGTCCTACAGCTGTGAGCCTGGCTACAGTCTCATTGGAGCTAATGCTATGCAGTGTACATCCTTGGGAACCTGGAGCCATACAGCCCCCAAATGTGAAGGTGCCTAAAGCTCAATTCCATCTTAAGGAAAATCAGCTGTTTCCTGACTCTTCATAACCCAGCTATAAAGAATTAATATTCACACAAGAATGTAAAGGATATGAGGTCATTATTCCAAATCCCTGACTACTTCCTATGGATTTTTCAAAAGAATGAGGCATCAAAGGATGACAAATGACTGTAGTGAGGCTGCTGTATCTTTAGTAGAGGAACAGAATGTCCTTTCACCACTTGTAGCCCCAGTTGTGTGTTTGAAACAGGCATCAAATAATTTCTACATTCCGGGTGTTGTACTTGCTCATTTCAGGCCTTTTATCTCTCTGGGTCCCAGTTATGACCTTATGAAGTAGCTTGATTTATATGATACACTAGGAAACTGAGACTTAGAGATGGTAAGACTTGCCCAGAGTCACTCAGCTATTGAATGACAGTGGGGATTTGAAACCAGGTCACCTGAGCCCACATTTCATTAGTCCATGGTGCCTCCACATGTGATTAGCATGTCATTAACATATATTTCATGTGCTTTTTGCCTTTATTAAAATTGATTAGACTCAGAACTATTTAATAAATATGTTTTATTGTCATTGTTTGGTCAAGATGACACCTATAAGTTCTATATTGACTTGTTTGCTGAGGACCAAGTGAATGGTAAGAATTTAGGATCTTTGGTATCAGTAGGACTATCAGTAAAAAATAAATTATACACATTTCTAGTTCTGTTTTTCATAAAGTGGCATATCCTATATTTGGACCTTTAATCTAAATTTGAATCTTTTTGTTGTCATAACCAATACCACCACATATTTCTTTTTCTTTTTTTAATTTTCAGGGATTTCTTGTGACCCTCCTCCTGCAATCAAAAATGGTCATACTAGTTATGTTTCTGTCCCTGTACCTATTAATACTGTCGTGAGGTACAGGTGTTTGCCTAACTACCGCCTCATTGGAGAAAGAAGCCTTCTTTGTATTAGTAGAGACCAAGTGAAAGGAACCTGGGATAAAGATGCTCCTATATGTGAATATTTCAACAGGCGGTCTACTTGCCCCGAGCCCATAGTACCAGGGGGACACAAAACTAAAATATCTAGGCCACCATACAGACATGGTGATTCTGTGACATTTACCTGTAACACCAACTTCACCATGAAAGGAAACCAGACCGTTTGGTGCCGAGCAAATACAAAATGGGGACCAACACCACTACCAGTCTGTGAGAGGGGTGAGTAAATAGGAAATTAAACAGATTTGGGAGGGTGGATCCTTCATTTCTGTGCAGGAGAAATTTCGTATCATTCTGAAGGAAGAACAGTGTTGATGTGTGAATGGTGGCGATTAGGGTGGAAGCATGGCCAGGGTGAAAATTATCATTTCCCTGAGGTATTTTTTTAGTCGTAAAGGTTATGAGTGTTCATTCAACAGGCATGAATAGAACAAATGTTTTAAATTATGATCAGAAAAAGTAACTGAACATACCTAATAATTGAATTGAATAAGTCTCACAGGATTGGGGACCAGAGTTAGTGCTGGTTTTATGAATTGTGTGGTTTTAAACCATATTCTGAATTAATGTTAAAATGAGAAGACATGTGAGATCTGTTAGCAAAATTACACCCCATGGACTCAACACTCATCTGTAAATAGCTGCTAATGCACGCTGGCAAAAATGGTGCCCTGGTCTATGTGACTCTATAAACACTGTCTGAAGTGATCGAGTAGTTTTCCAAATCATCTTCCCAATCATAACATTTCAAATCAAATGACTTTACAAGTGAGGTCTTCATTAATTTTTATTTAGTTGGGCTTAAGCTGTTGCTGAAATCTAAATCTGAACTTCTGTCATAAAATTAGAGTAGCTGGAATGTTTGAGAAACATTTTACCATCAAAATTAGCTATTTATTTACTTAGTGAAGAGCAAAATCAATTTTATATTAGCAAGTTAAAAAGCTATTATTGGAAAATATTATTTTATGTATATATTTATAAAGATATAAACACAGAGGTAAGGACAATCTGAAAATAGTCACTAAATGAGGTGATTGTACAAGAGAATTCAGCCTTAATAAAGATTTAGGTAGATCTTTATGTATTTACGTGGAAAGGTCTCATACGTTATTAAGCAAATAAAGAAAGGCAGAGAATAAGATGTGAGTACACACAGTGTCACCCAATATGTATATACATGTATCACATATAGGATCCCAGAAAACTGTTACTAATATTGTGACAGGACATAGATGAGCAGCAGACGTTCTTAGATAGGAGCTGAACAGCAGCCATTCCCAGATAAGCAGTTATCTCAAGGTCGTTTGCTAACCCCCGCGTTCTGCTTCTGTATGCCCGCTTTCAGCAGCTGCACTTCTTCCCCCACCTCCTTCTGCCTTTGTAACAAGAATATAAGCAGCCCCAGCCTGAGCTCGGAGCCCAGAATTTGGAATCTGTCTCCTCTGGGTCCACATGCGTGAATAAAACTCCCCTTCACAAACCCCGAAGCTCTCTGAGTCGTCTTTTCTGTAACATTTTCGTTCCCTGACCGGAAAAAACTCACGTGAGCAGGCTGTTGCCTCCAGTGAAGGTGGCCCCAGGGCCCTGGGGCGGCTGGTGGGGCCCGGTGGTGTTAAGTGGGCGGGCGCCCAGTGATTTCAGGTCCTGGACATCTGGGGCCCCGCCGGCTCTGCCCCAGGACTGCTCTTTCACCCGGGCTGGCGGGGTTCACACTCCTAAATCTGGGAAGGCGCCTATCTGGTAAGTGCCCCGGGAACCTGTGCCCAAGACCAGGCCCACCCTTGAGGTGGAAGGAGGGACTGATCACCCCTCAGGCCCAAAGGACCAGGTAGGGTTCCCACTGCTTAGGCGGGTGGGAACTTGATAAGCTCTGTGTGCTTGTGTGAATGACTGTTTTTGGTGCTCCACCAGCAGAAGCCTACAGAGCTTGAGTGAGTCCCTTCCCTTGTCTGTCAGCTCTGATCAGGAGAATTCATTATGTTGGGGGTTAGTTCAGCGTAGTGTCATCCCCATGCATCACCTTTGGAGGTTCAACCCCCATTAGGGAACGCAGGAGAAGTGACCAATGAGTGCATTCCTGGTTGGAATCACAAATCGCTGCCTCTCTCTCGTTGCCATTAATTAAATAGGGTGTTAGTCAGCCAGATCTTGAAAAAATAGAGAGAGACTTATAGTATGATTGTGTTGTTCAGTTTACCACTGCGAAAAAGGGATTCTCATACAATTAACAGCACTTGGGTCTCTTTCCCCAGTATGTCAGCCACCTCCAGAAATCCTGCATGGTGAGCACACCCTCATTGACAAGGCCAGCTTCTCCCCTGGGCAGGAAGTGTTCTACAGCTGTGAGCCTGGCTATGACCTCAGAGGGGCTGCCTCTCTGCTCTGTACACCCCAGGGGGACTGGAGCCCCGCAGCGCCCAGATGTGTGGGTGCGTACACACTCTTGTCTGCTTTGAAGTTTTTAGCCTGGGCTGGGCTTTATTCTCCACCTGCCTGTGTCATCCCTGTTTTCCTTTTTCTCCAGTGAAATCATGTGCCGACTTCCTGGACCAGCTTCCTAATGGCCGCGTGCTCCTTCCACTTAATCTCGAGCTGGGGGCAAAAGTGTCCTTCGTTTGTGATGAGGGGTGAGTGTGAGCTTGCCAGGCCTTCTGGAGACTGAAATTGCACTTAGAAGTTCATTCAAAAGGGGAGGTTTTGGTGTGGCAAAAAACAAAATCAAAAATAGAAAACAAACCTTAGGGGCATTAAATTTTGAAAGTGTGTAAGAAAAGGAAGACTAAGAAACAGGTGGAACTAATTATGATAGATATGAAGGGAAAATTGTGACATACATTAAATGGCATGTATAAAGACAAATACAATGAGTGGTTATGAGTACATATGTTATACATTGTGTGGAAAAAAACATATTTCCCAAGCAGAGGAGAATCAGAGTAATTTCGAGAAAAGTTTCATAGGTAAAGAAAAAGCTTATTAAAATAATTAAGATTAGTTAAGAATTATTTCAGGCATTTCCTTAACCATCAAAAGTGAAATTTGTAATGGGTGCAAAAGGGTAAGAATAAGCATTTTAATGTGATCATATATCTACGGGTTGGCAATGGGTTAGGTGCTCCGAATTGTGGTCATGGTGGCTGATGTGATGTTTTAGGTAAGGTCATTAACTTGTTCGTGTGGATCTGGTGCTCTTCACTGTGTGCACATCTGGGCATGGGAAGGATCGAGCGTCAGCAATGAAGCACCTGGCCCAGGCAGTTCCAAAGAATCCTGGCGGGCACCCATTGCCAGTACCCGAGAAGATTTATGAATCACCAGGGTCCCATGGCTGTTGAGAATTCTGGATGCTTTCATACAAAGTGATTTCTGATCTCTTTTCCTCTCCCCTGGAGTATTCAAACCTACTTCCCAGTGGCCCAGCGAGCTGTTGTCAGCCTCCCTCACAGCCATCACAGTTGTAGAGACAAGAGAACAGGTTTTGTTCACTTTGCAGTTATTCTCTGTTTTTTTTTTTTTTGGTTCAAACTGGGAGCTGTTTTAGTTGATTCACCAGTATCAGAAGTAGGGGGCTGTTGTGTTAGAAGACTGAGTATCCCATCAGGGCAATGAGTAGTTTTATCAGGTTTGTCTTAGAACAGGGAGCTAGAGATTCACTTCTCAGAGTCTGAGTTCAGGATCAAGGAGATGGCTGCTCTGCTATGACTGCTTTCTTCAAGGCTGGGACTCAATGTTATGTGACCAGCTAACAGTGCTTCACTGTTCTCCCCTCCTGAAGACTGTGTCTGTCTAGATTGGAATGGCCTCCAAACCTCTGCTGCCTATTGGTTTCAGACGCTAAGATGTTTGGCAAACTGAATGGCATTTTGGCTAAGCCAGCTCACCTATTCACCACCTCTTTCTTCTTTAGATTCCACCTAAAAGGCAGTTCTGCTAGTCATTGTGTCTTGGCCGGAATGGAAAGCCTTTGGAATAGCAGTGTCCCTGTGTGTGAACGTGAGTAGAAAGAAAAACACTTTAGGCAAAATTCTCCCTTAATCTGGTTAAGATTTTGACCTATGGCCACCCCTGCGTGGTTCTTCTGTTTTTCAATCTGAATTATTGTGAAATAGTTGCTGACTTTATGCGTATTTATCTGTGATCAGTTTGTTGCTAATGAAGTACTGTGCTGTGCACCATGAGTTTGGGGAAGCACTTGCTCTCTCTCTCTGTGTCATTTTGAATTCTGTGTGCCATGTGACACATCCTACTTTCCTTCTAGGTCAAGAGAGATTAAATAACGTGAATCTTTGACAAATGTCTTCCTTCCTTCCTTTCCTTAATCTTTCTTTTCTTCACCCACCAGATTGCAATTCTCCTACAATTGTTCTGCTTATTTTCTAATATATACACATAAGCATTCTTTTTTTTACTTTGGATGCATATCACAAGTTTTGTTTTGCTTTCTTTTAACAGTTCACTTTCTATGATACTTTTTGTATTACCACTCATCCCCCATACACTTTTTCACCACCATCTACATGCCTCTCCCTCCCCATCACTACACTGTTGTCCTTTTCCATAGTTCTTTCCTTTTATCTCAGTCTTCCACCTCCCAAACCCCACAACCAGTTCTGTCAACCCGCTCTCTGTCTGTATCTGTCTCTGTTTTAAAAAGTTCATTTATTCAAACAACTATTTCCTATGTGTGTATACTATGTGTTTGATGTTCTCCTAAGCATGCGTGTTATAGCAGTGAACAAGATGAGTTAATCCCCTGTCCCCTTGTTATTTATACCAAGGCGAGTGATGGTCAGGAAAATGAGCCAACAAATAAATGTTATGGAAGCAAGAGATACGAGCAATTGCAAGAATGAGGGCAAAGTGAAGAGCAGCATTACACGGGGTAGACTGTTTAAGATTCCTTAAACTCTCAAAATGTGTACCTAAATAAATTATGTTCACAAGTAATAAGCTGATGAAAAATGGGAACACAATTTCTAAAAAGCCAGTATATGACAGGTATCAGTCCTTAATTGTATTCATGCCTTTTGTTGAGCAGTTGACATTTTATGATTTATTCTTTAAACAAAAATTAGCATGGTTTTTTTTTGCAAGGATATCAGGATAAAACTTTTTACCGACACTATTGTTAGTGATAGTGAAAAAGTCAAAACAATGTACACATTGATCATATTTCAATGTTTCAGATATAAGGACTCCAAACAGGTGTGAGATAATCATTTGGAAATTAGGGGAAAAATACAATTTCTGATTATATTTAATTTCATTTTGTACTTAAAAATTTTCCATTTATCTGTTTTTAAAGCACTGAATACATTATTACTTTGTGTGTACATATTATTTACAACTAAGTAAATATACACACAATGGGAAAAATCAAAGGAATTTTGAGAAATATGTTAAAAGCTCTACAGAACCATAACAGGTTTATTTAGAGTAAAATATGTATATAACTGTACATTGGAACCAGAACAACAGATCTTCACTATTTAGATGAATCATGAAGTGTATGGATAAATAGTAATTTGTGAATAGGAAGAGATACATGTTCCAGAAGGCTTGTTTTTTTAAAAAGTTTGATATATTAAAAAGTTTATTTATAAGTTAAGTAACATGGAAGGACTGCTTTGGGATATTTTAGACCAATAGAAATTTGGAATAGAAATAAAAGACTTACTAGAAGTATTTTATAACCTGATTAAATCATCTAATTGGTATTGGGTTGACTGAAAGAGCCTGAAGCCTGGTTGTCATGTTTCAGGTATCATCATTCACTTTTTGTGTGAATCTAAATGATCTCAGTATTATGTTCCAACATCATTAAGAGGCCAGAAGCTTGTAGTACAAAGCAATTGTTCTCTATATATTACACCCAACGGATAGTCATTGGTACCCATTAAATGCAAATGAGAATCATCAATTTAATGTGCACTGAAAAAGGAGGCTTTATTCACACAGCTCAATTGTGACACAATACTGCTTTGGAACAAACAGCACACCTGTGAATAACTCAATTGTGATACAACTAGGTGCAGAACAATGCAACTGTGAAACAGCTCAATAGTGTTACAGCTCAGTTATGATACACCACAGATGTGGAGTAGCATGGCAGAGAAGTGTCCCTGGAGCATGGTGGCCTGGGACCCCTCTCCAGAGGGTCAGGCAAGACAGCCCCAGCCAGGGAAACACAGTCTTCAGTGACAGGGAAAGTGTGCTTCCTGACCCAGAAGGGAGCTGATTTACATAGACACAAGTTCCTTCTCTGGTTCATGACTGGTTCATCATCATGTAAATGAAGACTCAAAAATCCACACAATTTGATCAAACAAACAAAGAAACAAACAAACAAACATGGTCTGAATGGAGCCACTCTAATTAATCAGTGGAGATGCTAAGGAGGATATAACTGTGTAGCTCCAAATGGGTGAGAACTGGCTCTATGGCAAGAACACAGTGGGGACAACAATTGAGTGTGGTACGAAGGCAGTTCAGTGCAGAATGTTGTCCCTAAAGCATGGCTGGTGTGAGAGGCCCCTGTTTAGCAATGGCTATTAGGCTGTTTGTGAAATGGAGCTTTTTTTTTAGGATTTTTTTTATTGTTGTTCAAATACAGTTGTCTCCATTTCCCCCCACCATTGCCCCCACCCAAGCCATCCCCAACTCCCACCATCAATCCTATCGCACTTTGGTTTTGTCCATATGTCCTTCATAAATGTTCCTGAAAACCCCTCCCCTACCTCCTCCCCATGATCTCTTCCCACCTCTGCTCTGGTTACTGTCAGTTTGTTCTTAATTTCAATGTCTCTGGAACCTAATCAACAAAACAAATGAGCAAGCAAATATATTTGAGCCTATTAACATTTCGATCCCTCTTAAACACGTACATTTTTTATTAGGGTCAACTATTCCAAGGACTCCTTGAGTGTAATTAAATAACACTCAATAAAGGCCTGGAGACAAGTCAAGAAGCCCATTGTGTGACAATAAGCCAGATGTTTCAGGATAATTGTGCTCTAAAGAAATCTCTCTTGTTATCTTTTCTTCTTTTTAGTAGTTAATTGGACTCTACTCTTTAATAATCCAGATATACCATATGTATGATTAAGGAATATTCCACAGGTATTGGCAAAAAGAACAGTCTCTGATATCTTTCCCCATGTTCTATGATTTGACAACTCATAAATCAGGAGCTATTTCCTTCCTGGTACACTAAGAATACAAAATGCTACATTTTCCATTAGAGGACAAAGTTCCACCTAATGACAGAAAGGAGGCTGTCAGAGAAGAGTCAGGGAAAGATGGACTCCTGAAGATCTGCATCCAGACCAAGAAAATGCCCATGTTTTTTGTTCCATCTTCAGTACAGGCCTGTACACCCTGAGTTTTGACAGTTATTGTTTTGTCCCTCACTGGAAGCTATAGTTTTTCAAAATTTTTTGGCTACTGAACCTCTATCCTGGGAAACCAAAAGAGCTGAGCTTTTTAACCTTGGGTTTTACTTAAGAATTACATTGTACTTTAGCAGAAAGTAAGAAGCTGAGATCTATCAAAAAATGGAAAAGGGTAATGGTATGCTCACCCAAGTCACTACTGCTTTTGTTCCTTAGGTTTCATTTAAAAGGAAGCTCTACAAGTTACTATGTCTTGGTTGGAATGAAAAGCCTTTGGAGCAACAGTGCTCCTGTGTGGGAGCGTGAGTAGAAGAAATATCTGTTCAGATCTGCAATTTTCTCCTTATTTTTTTTCATTTTCTTACTGTGTTTTTGTCCCATGATATGATCAAATGTCTGCTGCTCCATTTATCTTTATTTTTGATAGAAATATTTCTTTGTTTTATTAGTTAAAAGGCATGTTTTTTGGAAAAGTGACCCTGAGCATCATGTGTTTTCAGCACCATTCAAAATATATTTGGCAGCATACTACATGCTATAATGGGAGAAGTGCTTTATAGGTGGACAGAAATTTGTGCCTCGAAGCTTTGTCAAATTTTCCTTTTTTTCCTGTCAAAAGTAATAAACACACTGCAGCCTTTCGATCATTTTCTGAATCACCCATTCATTTCTATTCATATTTTTTTAGCACCTACTATGTCCCAAACAGCCTTCTAGACTACTGGAGTATGCCTCTAAACAAGATAGACTAGGTCCCTGCTCCCAATTCTTTATATTCTTGGACAGAAGTAAAGATTCTTAAAAATAGCAAGTAAACAAGAAAACAGAGATAAACAATTTCAAATAATATTAAGTGTTTAAGAAAACAACCAAGGTAATGTAATAGAATAGTTATGTGAATAGCAGTAAGGAATGCCAGGGAAAGAATAAAGTTTCCATTTTAAATAAGGTGATTAAGGGAGTCCTCACTAAGAAACTAATTGCTCTGGTTTAAGCATTCACAGCAGTTAGTTGGCTACCAATGTGGGAACATAGAGGAAGAACCTTCCATTGAGATGGAACAGAAAGTGCAGAGAAAGTCCCAAGGCAAAACTATTCTTGTCATTCTTTGAAAACCCTGTCCTAACATTTTCTCAGAAGCTTATATGGCTTTTGTAGAGTGAGCAAATACAACAGTAGTAGGTGGTGATAAAAGAAAAGTAACCTTAGGAACTTGTTTTCATTCTGAGCAAGATGGAAAGCCATTGGAGTATTGTGATTAGAAAAGTAACAGAATCTAACTTACTTTTAATGATATAACTCATTACTCTAGAGAGGACTAAGTTGAATGGGTGTATCTTAGATGGAGATTCCCCAGAAATAGTACCAGAGGGAATTTTTATGTAACAATGTTCCATTGGAGGGTATACTCTCAGAGCAGCAGTACCCAAAGGATGAGAAAAAAGGAGGCAAGGAGGAAAAAACAGCAAGTAAATAAAAGATACTATGTGACCAAGGCGGCCATAAGCCTCACAAGAAAAGAAGCTGGTTGTTTGGTCACATAGAACATCTATGTGGAACCAAATCTCTTCATCAGAAAGAGGAAAAACAGCCCATCTCTTG